GTGTTAAACCATGGTTACACTAAATTACAGAATCCATGGGGTAAAAGAAGCAAGGATATACTGTTATACAGGCCAACCAATGCATATCCATGCCCCAAGATTCTGGTTGCACATCAGACTCTCAGTTCAGATGTCAGACTTGCTCAAATCAATACGATATTCACAATGGCGTCAGAATATACAAATAAAGATTATGTGATATTAATTCAGAATTCACAATGCCGTAAGAATATATCAATGAAGGTTTTATAATATTAATTCAGCATTCACATTGGTGTGTAGGTGTGTGTGGGTGTGTGTCCACATGTGGGCGTTGGCAATGTGTGTGCGTGAGTGTGCGTGTGCCAGCACGTGCATGTGTCATCTCTGAAAAGAATAATCTCATTGACAAATTAACAATTACCAAATAGAATGTTACTACACAACAAATGTTTGCAGGTAAGAGGAAACTAACCCAAAACGCTTTATGAAAGATCTATATGCCGGTAATAGAACTTCAGCAACGGCAAGCCTCAGAGATTCACGCAACTCCGGATCAGGTACTGTCCATTGGGACTGCCTAATATGAAGCTCCTCAAACTGTATGTTGAAAGACTTAAACCTGATGATGACGAAACAAGAGGCAACTTCAACAGTCAAGTATTAAAAACAAAGACACAATTTCAAAATAGACCCTTTTGAAAAATAATCACCATTTTTGACCTACTTGCAAATTCGACCTAGTTTCAGCCACGTCAACAACGTGGGCTGAAACGGGGTCGAATTTGCGACATAAGTTCTACAAACTCTACAGGATTGAGAACCTGTGTAGTTAAGTAGAAAATTAATCTCCATGGGATTCTCAGAACCTGTGTAGTTAAGTAGAAAATTAATCTCCATGGGATTCTCAATCACGTAGAGTTCATAGAACTTATTTCGCAAATTCAACCTAGTTTCAGCGCACATTGCTGATGTCGCTGAAACTAGGTTGAATTTGCTAAATAAAATTCAACTAGGTCGAAAATGGTGATCATTTTTCAAAAAGGGTCTATTTTGAAAATTTGTCCTAAAAACAATGTACAAAAAGAAAAATATTACAAAGATTAGTGACCTCTCTTTTACTGCAGCTCTAGAGACCCCACTACTATTACTTCCATCACCTCCCACAGCACTACCACCACCTGACGAAGTCAAACCTTGAGCTGAAAGGCTCTGCAAAATCTGTTAGCAAATGCAGAGGCGAAAAATTAAAAGATTTCACAAAGCCCCAACTATAGCTGAAGGATCCAAGTCTGTTGGAGTCCTATCCTAGAAAGGGACAGACAATTCTACATGAAGTTGAGTTTGTCAAACTCAAACCTTAGCCCAAGCAACCCTTTTATACTGATTTGCATTTTGTTGCACAATCCTTCTATGTCGTTGGACCCAGTCATCTCCCAAAAGATCTTTTGCTTCAGATCTGAAAACAACAAAGGGATTGATCAATTTATCTGTTCCATGGCATTTTTAATTTTTCTAACTAGACATACCTTCGAACTGATCTGACCATATAGTGGATGTTATTCATAAGGAAAAGGTGAGTCAGAGCAGGATCCCTATATTGCTTAGATTTCCCATCCAGGTTACTCTGAAGACCTTGCATAATACGCATGGTTACAACTGCCAGATGAGAATTTGAATCTCCTCCAGTTTCAAACTCCTGGAAAAGCTGCTTTAGTGTGGACTGATAACTATACAAAAATTGATACACTTTAGTCAAGATAATCATGCTCACATGACGGCAATTTTAAGACCAAATGTCAGACAAATAGTTATAGGGCACAATAGTTTCATATTCTTTTAGGTTAATAGTAATATGAAATTAAGATGCACGCAGGTTCTAGGTACTATTTGTTTGAAACGAACATCTATGTTCTAGTCATCAACTTAGGACATGTAATCATTTGAAAGAAACAGTATATACAGGCCTACATGTAATTTTCTGAAAGAGATAGTAATATACAGACCTTTAAAAAGATAAATATGGCAAGGGACCTCTAATAATGGTGGATTAATGTACCATATTCTCAACAGAAGACGTGCTGCACACATGTTTAAAATTATGTACAATGGCCAATAGTAGGAAACATACAAAGAGGAGGAGGTTAATGTGTAGTTGTAGAGATAGCCTATGACAGTCAGATAGGATGTCAATGGCGGACGGAAGGCGATCAGGTTGGCAATATGAAGGCATATCCGGAGAGACTTCCAACTTAATGGAAATATTCTCATGTTGAAGAAGTTACAAGCCAACAAAGTTGAATATGAAACCTTGTCCAGAGCATAAACCCGAAATGACATATTTAAAGCATCTGAACATGGTAGCAAATAAAACAAGCTATATCATTGTCATCAAAATGAAGATCCACATACTCCCCTGCATCTTTAAAATTCACTCTTGAGATATCCACCGTCCTAGATGAGGAGGAAAAGTTACATGAACTATGTTCCTGGGAGGTTTGATTGGTGTGACAAGGATCTATCAGGAATATCGCCTCTTGGATGAGGAGAAAAGCTGGAAGCAGAAAATCATGGGATTACATAATCGTTTTGCTTCTCCGTAACCAGATTCCGTTCAACCCTGCTTTGACAGAGTATCATCTGATATATAAAATAGCAAGATGTTTTTCCTAGTGCCCCTAGGCACAGCAGTGACGTGCACACAAACCACTATTGGAGCTGTTCTACTTACGAATAGCCACTATTACAGACACTGCTCAGATGGAAATAATTTAAAGTGCGTAGAGGCAGTTTCTATGAAGTTGTGGGACTTTAAAAGGAACCTATGGCCATCGTAGTCTGAATATATCACATAGAGAAGAAATCAGATCTATATACAAAGGAGGAAAATATAACAGGTGAAATCACCGGCAGTAGCACAAATCAAGGATTTTATTTTAGCAGCAATTAAAGAGAATCAAAGAGAAATCAGATTTCTGCCTAGGAAAACAAACTTTAAACACTAGGCAACCAAGGAAACAGTTAGGCATGGGCTTACTCCAAAAGAAACTTCACATAATTTATAACATAGCTAGTCAGAGGATGAACAGTTCCATCTTGCACAGATGTTTTGGTTGCATCCTTTTCAACTGCTTCCTCAAAATCACCAAAGGTTTGTTGGGCAGTCTGGGCTAAGCGCCTGGTCAAACTAACTGAAGCTTCACGCATTTCCGCACAAGCTCTCCCCTCAAAAATGGCTTCTATCTGATGATTTTTTGCCATAAAGGAGAGATCAACAAAACTAAGTCCATTGCTAAAAATAAATACACAGAGCAATTATGAGATAAAGATTAGACATGTATAGAAGCAATAAAAGGCAAACAAAGGTATATAGGCAAGAAGAAACTTTTGTTAAGCATGAAAAAGTTCAATAAAATTTTATCTTTTAAATTAGTGCATTTTCCAAGAAGCATGTTCTGTTGTTGCTATTTGAAGGGTATAAATTTGAAAATCTTCTGGGTGCAGTAATAAGGAACAAGCAACGTATCTCCTAGTTTCATACATAATCAAAATGGAAAAGTAGATATAATTTTGGGCATGCATATGATATAGCTAATTCTGAATGTGATATAGCTAATCTGAAACAAGCAAAAGTGAGAAAACATGGAGAAAATAATATCTGGTACATGAAAGCAATATCTTCACCAAATAAAAATAACTCTCATGGCTCATACCGGACTGCAAAGCATCAAGTGATTCACTGACATTTCCTACACAGTTTGGATATTCATCTTCTTAGATGAAAACTTACTAATAGTTTGACCATAATATGAATAGATGAGAATTTAATAAATTAAAGATGTAAATCATACTACGCTTGACACTTCTAAGAAACTTCTTGGACATATATTGAACTTCTCCAATGTGTCCTCAAGAAAGAAGAAATAAAAGAGGGAAGAAAGGTGAAATGTTTCTGAACATTTCAACCATATTCTTTCTGTATGAAAATGCTATATATAAGAATGAGCAAAGTATCATTTTTTGACTTACTGCAATGCTTGTCATATGGAACCAACAAAAATATTAAGAGACAGACCGGTCAGGATCACGGATTTCTGGTAAAAAAAAGTTTATTCATATTGTTTTCAAGCAAATAACACAATATTCTCAATCGATATTGAAATACAGAAACAAAAGAATAATGCTTTTTAGAGATTGCTAAGAAATACAATGAAATACTACAAATCATATATAGGACACCATATTTTAAGTATCAGACAAGTTACCATCTAGTAACCTCTAACTCATTCTGATTTGTTGCATTATGGGAACTAAATTATGAGGACACTGAAATTTATTCTTCAGAAAGGTAGACTAAAACCAAGTTTAAAATCATGCACCACATGTGACCAACAATAGAGAGGATTAACAAACTGCAAGTACTTCTGGGACCAGCAAGTTCCCAGAATATAGTACAAGAAAAATTTCTGAAATAATTTATATCATTAAAAATTGATGATGAGTGCTCCCAAAAGGCAGGTAATAGACACAGGAACCAACTGCTTTGCACGATATTACCTTATTGGAAAAGAAGGAAACAATCAACCGCCCACTTCTGGTAGTTAGGTATTCTCTCCCTTAAAAATTCACTACCATTATTTTTTGGAACTCTAATTAGTTTATATATGTAGTTTGAGATCTACATGGACGTAATGACATGGTTGCCAATACTCAATATCACCGTCTTAATGTGGGAGACAATGATAAGTCACTAAAGTTTAGTACAGAATATACACATATTCAACGCAGCTTACATAGCATAACGCTAAAAGAAACTAAAAAGCATACCTCTGGCTGAAGCTCACACATTATTTCAAACATGTCCAGAAGCACAAATAACTTTTCTGGTGATCTTTTACTTTTTGCAATAGCCTCCCCAAAACTGAGAAGCATTAATACACTGTTTGTAGTTACTTCAGCAAAACATTGATCCTTACGAACATTATCGATTCCTTCAAAAATTTGATCACAAATTTTTCGTTCAGCAGCAAATAGCAGTTTGACCTGTTCCAAACACAGTTAAAATGACTAGAAAATAGAAGACACAGGTAATAGCAGTTATCTGAATGAACACTTACTGCAATTCGCATAAAATGAATCCAGTTTCCAATTTTTGCCTCTAGGACCTCCCACTGCATCTTCTGTACATCATCTTTACTGAGATTTTCTACTCCCAATTTCTGAAGGCTCAGTTCCAAAGCTGAAGCACGGGTTTCACTGAATGGAATGGAAAAGATATACGTTAACTCGATGTTAACCGGGAAAAATAATAATAAATATGATTATACTAGTACAGAAAAGTTTCTGAAGTTTGGTTTCAGGATTGGGATTTAGAGAAGTTAGTGCATGAATCCATCCATATCTGTCTGCCAAGCAGCATCTCAGTGAAAGGTTCAT